TTTATGGTAACGTGGAGGAGCCCCTATAGTAATCAATGCTCAGCCCTTACCAAGGCCAGCGTACCTACTAGCTGTGTTGTCAATATTTAGGTGTTTGTGTATGTGTCCCCCTCTCCAGTTGTTAGTTATCTGGTACGTACTGTACTGCTGTCTGTAGGATACCAGGAAATCTAATAACAAACTGTGGGTAGGCCTGGCTGGCACCACTTCATCTTCCACACACGCTATTACTGTACTGGGGTCTTAAACTCGGTAAGTGGGCCACACTGAAGTTAAGAAAATTCTTCGGTGCCTTTTTTTTTTTTTATCATTTTATGTCTGGGGGAGCTACAACGAGGGCAGACAACCAAGCTATCATGCTGGTGATGGCTATATTGAGTCTTTGCAGCTTCATTTTTCTGACTGGTAGGCAGGAGAGGAAGGGAATGTTACTGATTAATATTAATTACAAATATGGAATGTTTATCTAGTTGTTTTGAATTTGGGGGTTGGTTAACATTCCTGTCGCAATGCCTCCACTCATGACAGACCTCTCCCAGACTCACAAAAGTTCATACATTGAGTATTCCTTTGACCGATGATGTAACAATGTACCCGACTGATTAATTAAAAAAACTAAATCGCAAAAATAACACCATAAAATAACCTAAGAAATATAGTGAGACTCCCATTAACCAGATACACTCATTCATCACCAGTTAGGAGACAACAATAACACGTCAGCTATGGAAGAGGACCCAAACCTCACCCGAAGATTAAGATCTCAAGTCTCACAGCTTCCCCGGGTGTGAATCAATACTCTGTCTCTGAATCCCGAGGTCAGCTACATGAAGGAAACAACCAGGACACATTATAGTACTGTGATATAGTGGAGGTTTACTATATAATATCATCATCCTACAGAGATATAAATGATGGGAAGTGTTTGTTTGTCATGGATGGTAATTGTTGGCATCTTGAACACAGGTGCCAGCTAGCATTCCAATACACCCGAAGAAGAATACTAAGGGAAGATAAGACTCAGCAGGAGAGCCAGTTCCCAGCCAACTGCTTACATGAGACAAAACTACCATTAATTGATAAAAAATAAATAAAAATAAATAAATAATTTGGCAAATATAAGACAAGGGCTAGAGATGCATACACCACATTTACACAGTTTTTGGGCAAGTGTTGGCTTTCTTCTAGTAAAGCCTCTTCTCGAACGCGTGTAGACTATGCACTGCGCCTTCTCTCTGAGCCGAAAGTGTCCGCCGCTCAATTTTCAGCTCGCCACTATACAGCATAGCCCTGGTCAGTTGAGAGGGATGTGTTTTTTAGCTGACCTATGTACAAAGTCAATCACTCAGAATGGATACATCTCGCAGACAGAAGCAACCGTGATGTCACACATTTTTTACTTCTACCAAAATAAAAAATAAATAAAAACATTTCAAAGGCAATCCATGACAAAATCATCCACAAAAAAACGTCAACATTGATTCCATCTATGAAGTGTTCCATTCTTGGCTATAAATCAGTGTATCAAAGATAAGCTTAGTGACACACCAGGCAAAGTTAATATGACACGAATGAAAAACTGTGCATGTATGGTATGTGCCTCTTGTGGCTGTAACAGGAGTCAGTGTGCATGAAGTGGATTTCTTACAGAACTGCAGTAGTGAAACTGGACACCCACACAAACTCATATCAATTAAACTTAAAATTATTACACACAAGTAACATGATCTGCCATAAAGAAAAACTAAGTAATTTAACATTTACAGTACAGTGTATAATAATGAGACTGGCTCGCATCTCCAAGAAAGAAATTTTGCGAGTGAATGAATAAGTAGCCACACCAGTGAATAAATTACCTCCACTAAATAATATTTACAGTATCTAAAGCCAAAAATAAATAATGGGGCAATAACTGATGCCTCAATGCCTGTCCAAGCGTTACCATCATGCACAAAGTATTAAAAAATAATCAAGCTTTTTATTGACAGTGTGAACAAGAATTTTTTTCATGCAGACACAAACTACAGAGATCTACAGTACCTATTTATATATACAGTATGCACACACGCATTACCAAGGACTATGTTTAGATACTGGAATGGTACAGTATTTCTCCATGACCAAACGTAAGTCAAATCACAATTCTCAAATTCGTTCATCCAAATTCACTTTACAATCTATTAAATATTCCGTCCATGCATAAACTTGAGGGTACATCTTCCAAGCATAAGACGACAACAACAACAACAACTTAACATCTACTGTACTTATGTTTGAGAAGCAATTGAGAGGTTTGTACAGTGTCCTCGTCTCTTATATATTTCTCTATAATCACACATCTTAAATTGGTAACTGTGATGATATTCTCCACACAACGTACTATAATTCGGGAGTAATGTATCTCTTTTAACACTTATCAATTATATGTCTCTATAACAGTGAAGAAGGTTGCAGATATAAAGTACCATCTAAGAGACCTTTGGGCATTCTTGAGTGAGGTAAAGTGTGTGTGTGTGTGTGTGTGTGTGTGTGTGTGTCTGTGTGTGTGTGTGTGTGTGTGTGTGTGTGTGTGTGTACAATGAAACTAAGACAAATACAAAGAGAGATGGTGAATATAAAACCTTGGCAAGTGGCAGCAAGATGTGAGGTTGTGATTACTAATGCCTCATGGTCATTCTACTACAACTAACCACAAGCACAGATGACTTGTACCACACACAGGATTGCCCTTCATTAACTTGCCCGTTCACCAACACTAACATACAACTATTCTATGAAGGTCTATATCCTGTAGTCACTTTAATACACGGAAATTAAAACCTCATTGGTATGCAACACTTACGGTCATACACAGGGTTCTGTTCCAGGAGGGCCAAGATGTGGTTCATACTTCATGTATTTTAAAGCTGACCATCATGGTAAACAGACACTATAGTTACCAATATTCAAATGAAAGAAATAACATGAACATCTACAAAAAGCTGATCCGACAGTGGACGACCCAGGGAGGGGGACTCGACGAGGCCGCTCCCTAAAAGTTACAGAATAATTTACACCCCTATTGAAGACTTAACAGTTAACCATCATATTCCACACGAGAGGCACGCTGGTGTGTTTATATACAGCACAGTACTGTATATAAATTCATGGCACCTTTCCCAGTAAACGAAAAAGCTGACATATTGTGTTTAGAGTCCTTATGTAACAAGCTAGCACCATTAGACCATGGCTTCGTGGCAGTGACCTTCACTCCACCCTGAGATATGGCTGTCAAAAGCTGAAAGATTTTATGGGCCGAGTCTACTAGTGGCTAGTGAGTGCTGACACACACACACACACACACGTCTTTTCACTTTTTTATTCCTCCCTTCAGGATTGTATTTTGTTTCTTCCTGACCGATAACAGCAAATACCAATTAATTTTTTTGGGCCCCCCTTTGCTTCCAAAATTGGCAATTCTTTTCATACGTAAGTTATGAGAGACAATAATTGCACCTAATAGAATCTGGCACCATATTCTGACTACTGTTTTAGTCTGTAGCAACATGAATGATGCCGAGCTAAATGATAATGAATAAAACTTTGATTCCACGAAGAAAGTGGTGTTGATGTGATGTAGAAATAATGAGGACTTCTAAACCTGTACTTGTATCTACAGCCCATTCTGTAGATGTAGGATGGTGAGAAGAGGAGCATCTGGTAGAAAAATTGCTTCAAACTCACCTGATGGCAACTGGGACACCAGGCCATCAGGTAAACACACCCAAAACCATATAGCTGTGGAAAATGACTGTATAATGGTGGTGGTGGTGGTGAAATGTTCCTTACTGTGTCTCTAAGCTCTACTCATACAAGAAACAGTAAATCCTGCCCAGTCCACCGATCTTCATCTTGTAATGGAGAACAACCGTGGACGACATGATAGCATCAGTAACAGTTTTCTCAAGCACGACTTAATGAGTGAATCCATGTTTATGAAATATTCAACCCAAATAATAAGCTAAAGTTACAGTTTCACACAACACACAGCAATGTACTAACTAGGAATGTCTAGGATAAGGAGAGGTTGAAATATATCAATACAAAACCATTCACTATGCCTAATAATCATTCTTCACTGCTTTAATAAAATATAACAGCAATTTAAAATGCAACAAGGGGTAGCAAGAGAGACCTTACACAGAGGGAAGCGTCAAATAAATACATGTACGTATATACACTCATAAAAAAAAGGCCGATATAACTTCCTATCCAACATTCAGAAACAGCAACTAAAATAGATAGTACTACAAATAATATTAACACTCAATCACGCCATCACAGCAAAATATAAAAATAACCGACACTGAAACGACCAATCACAATACTGTTAATAGATTATCTTTTATTTTTAATCCATCAAGATTTCTTCCACAATGTATTCCCATTACCTACAAACACATTACCAAAGTACTGTGACTGTTCTGTTGTCCTGATCACACACCACTTAACCAAGGCAGAGTAGGCTGTTACACACCATACTGTACTAGACCATGATTGCCATAAAGCCACAACAGCATGCATCTCACCCCACCCACTGAAGAGATATTAAGAACAGTACAGTTAACACCTATAAGATATAAGCAGAAGGGAAGGAATGCAGTAAACAAGAGTCTGTACCAGCAGATTCAATTCCATGCACTAAATAAATAAATAAATGAACACAAGCCCCAATATTCCTACCTCATGTTTTACTAGGGCAAAGTTTACTATAAACTTCTGTAATTTACCTGCCAGGAGGAGCTATCAATACAGATCAAGATTTGTTTGACCATCAATGCAATAAAGGGAGGCTGGTTGTTTAAATGACCAACACAAATACACCGACAGCTACAGGATGTTTTAATCATGAAGTCTAGTTTACGTGTTTATGCCCCGAGGAAGCAAAATTACAGAAGTTTAAAAAAATACAACAATCTCCGGTACAGTGGCGTTCCAGGGAAGGAAGCGCCGTTACTCACCTGAGCATGGAACACGACTTTGAGCCGATATCCTGACAACCGTGCTGGATCCCACAGACCAGATACGGCAGGAAGCGCAGGATGGAGCCCTTGTCTACTATGGAGCCACTCACCCCCTGGGCCACTTTGATGCCATCGCCCTCCCTGTAAGGTAACGATGCGAGAGGACTGGTTAGCTAAATAATTATAAACATCTAAACACAATAGAAAAAATACTACAGTACTCCCTCTTTGACATTTGAAAACTAAAACTAGAAAAAAATAAAAAATGTCTTAAATCAAATGCACAATGGATGTTACAAGTGTCTTCAGACGTACTGTATATAAAACAAGAAATGAGTGAAAATGAATGGAGGGGAAACTGATAAATCAACTCCAGACACAAATCAAGTACTGTATGTGGTATTTGTATTACACTGATGGAAGGAGTGAACCAAGAAGAATGAGAAGAGGAGGGGGCAGGGGAGGAGGAGGGGCAGATGAGGTGGAACAGGGGAAAGGGGGTAGGTGGGAGGGGGGACAGAGGAGGAGGGGCAGGCGAGAGGGACAGGGGAGGGGGAGTAGTTTCATGGGAGTGGATTCGATACTAACAGACAATGACTATCTATCCTCACATAAGCACTATTTCAGAACTGCTTTGGTCAATTCTGTCCCATACATATTATTCACCTCCAAAAGCTAAAGAACTCTTGGGGGAACACATCCATAAATTGGGGGATTTCTAAGAGACAACATTGCCAGTTAGAAAGCAACAATGGCCACGGCTCCCGGGAACTGCCAAGATGATAAATTTATACAAGTGAGAGTAGACACAAAGGTGAGGTTAGGTAAACAAAAGACACTGTTATGATTGCAGTTACTGAGAGGGCAGAGTAAATAAATGGGAAACCAGTGCTAGAAAAACACAACAGACCATCAGAGGGTGTGGGACTATGGCCAAGAAATGAACCCCACTAAGTGTGACTGACTGAGGCCAAACAATGTACAGTATTATAAAAATATCCCACCAATGACAAAGTAAAAAATAACACCAATACCTAAATTAATATTACCAATTCTATCTTAATCCTCCCTTGGGATGTGATGACAAACTATACAGAGTTATGTTATGTTGAGAGACCCAGTGAGCATTTGTTCTATGTATATAAATAAATCAAGGTAATGTCTGTGTGTGAGTTATGACAAGTCTCAGGACAGTTCAGACCAAGACAGGCATATAGATAGTAAAATATGATGGCCATTATGTATTTAAATGTCATAAAATGCTACAAGTGTAAAGGAGACAGAGAGAGAGAGAGAGCAGTACAAGAATGATGAAATATCTAAAAACTGCAGAACAGAAGGAGTTCAAGGGAGAGGAGCAAACATCTAAACCTTCCTCATTCTTGTGGCAAAAACCTAACACAATTACACACAGTCTCTCTGATGGAGGGATGGACACCCACATGTTATGGAGTATGTATCATGATACACTGATAAATAAAGAAACTGAATAATGATGATCTATCATTATTTTGTTGTGAAGCATTAACCATTGATACCTTCAGTATATAAATGACTTGGTATTCATTAATAAATGTTACATCTGAGAGGCATTTATCTTTTTAACATTACTGTACTATATTTCACCACATGTGCAATAAAAACTTACTCTTAAGAATAAGGCTTAGTGTAACTTATCAGTAATATCCAATAATTCAAGAGCCTACATAATCTGTATAGTACAACATTACATCAAGTATCCTACATGACTATGGTGCTGGTTAGTGCAAATATTTTAAAGTGACTCTCATAACTCCTCACAGGATCGTCCTCACCCACATCTTACATGTTTCCCTTCAAACATTGTACAGTGGAACAGTAATAATTAATGTACATTTCAAACCTGTATTCAAGTTTGTTAAACCTTAAACACAGTTGGCCATCTTTGACAAGTTTATTCTTCTTGGTGAACTTTATATAATATTGTTATAATAAGACCCTGTGGGTGAGAGTTTTGGCTGGTGACTAGTGCTCAGATGTACATTCACATTATAAGCCAAGAACCTAAAAAGCACAACTTTTGCTACACATTCTGTGTATCTTGGGAATACTTGCATATTACTCCTCAAGCGTTTTAATTCAAGCCTCTGACAACAAAATAAATTCCTTATATAAAGCTTATACCAACTTGACAAATACCAAATACTGTACTGTATAAATGATTAAAACAGCATGGAGTCATGACATGTAATCCAAGAAGTAGCACACATACTTACTCACACACAAATAAACACTATCGTAGCATGCTACAAGGAGCCTAGAGACACTGCCTGCATGGGTAGGCGTCCACTGGTGATGAGACGCTCACACACTAAATACATAGTCAACTGCTCTACGGGTTAGTCTTACCCCCCTAAATACATGAAACAGTTTGGACTGTGGGCCACAGATGAAGGATTAGTTGGGCCCGATGGATTTTTGCATGCACAGTTGACCCCGCTACGTGGGCCCCTGAGCACAAGTATCATAGGTTAGACACACCTCTAGGAGAGTCACACACATGTACAGTAGTTCCTCATGATATCCACCAAACACTTCTCAATCGAGGATATATAATTGCACACTAATATTTATTTTCATCTATAAAACAAATTAAATTACAGTATCAATAAAACCAGAAAGACTTATATAAGACATCCAAACATTAATATCAACTACTGTACAATCATAAAAAATATCCTGCCATGTAAATATTGTACACACAGAATCTTCAAGTTTTAATGAGTAAATGGAGAGTTATTATGTTACCTATCATAGTTCATTAATATTGTATGAGAACATTACTAATAAACATGGACACTGCATTGAGAGAGAGAGAGAGAGAGAGAGAGAGAGAGATGGAGGAAACACTAACATGGTTATATAATAGTGGAAAAAGGCAGAAATATGGACGAAAAAAATCCAAACCTATAATATTCTTTTCTATTAAGGATGACAAACCAATGTATCATATCTTGTCGACATCCACCCACTATTATCAGGGAAAAGATATCAAGGAAAAAAAGTTTAACTTATAGAGATGCCAAAAAAAAAAAAAAAATATGGTACATCAATTACAGTCCATTGGCATATACTGTATATTAATACAAATCAAATTACAAAAACTCCTCCTCCAGGATTTTTCGAAGAGCTTGATTAAGGAAAATAAATTGTACGCACCAAATCTAAGGTTCCATCACTAACAAGATAACACCTTTTCTATTATAATATACAGGTATATAGCCACCTGGGTGATACATCAACACACATGTACACGTCATCATGCCAGAACAAAAGTGTTGCCAAGTTCGCAGACAATCCTGTGTGTTGTTAAGATATACTGTTTAGATGAGAGGCTGGGGGAGGTGACAAATAATGTACTGTACTTTCTATTACAGAGGATAACTGACTTTTGGCAAGACTATTACATTCAACAAAGATGCCACACTGAAAAAGAGAGGAGAGAGGAGAAAGAGAAGGAAAGAAAGGAGAGAGAGAGAGAAGGAAGGAAAGCAAGAAGACAAAAGAAGAAGGAAAGAAAAAAATAGAGACCAGAGAGGAGAAAAACATGTACAGTATTAGTAAAGGATCAAAGTACATATCTGGTGCAAGCTCAACACCTCCCCAGGGTCTAGCTTACCCGTGGAAGTAGCGATCAGCAGCTGCTCCCTGGGTATCCTTGCGCTCCATGGCCTCGAGTGAACCCATGCCTCGGTATTTTTTCAAGCGGACGCCGTTACTGAAGAAATATTCACCAGGAGCTTCCGAAGTGCCGGCCAACATCGACCCCATCATTACTACAAGAAGAGGTTAAGACGTAAATAAACAAACGTAAATAAAGAAAATCAAATTACAGTCGGCCCTTCACATACGCGGGTTTAGCATTCACGGATTCGCAAATACGCGGATTGTCCCGCCGGAGGAATATTCTGTACATTGAAGTACATTCAAATCGCGTGCGGCACCTCACACTGCACACCGCCTGCTCCCACTACCTCACACACACACACACATGCATAGCGCGTCGTCACCCCACCTCGCGCTCCCTCACTCAGTCAATCTCGCTGTAACCACGCTTGTGTTGACATCAGCATTGTAGTTGCAAAAATATTACATTTCCGTGAATGTATTATATCAAGCACAGTATGAATAGAATATCACTAACATAACAGTATTTTAACCGAAAACTATTACCCGTTTAGAGGTAGACCCCCAATTTTTTGCCAAATAATTTGGTCTTAAAAACTCGAACTACACACAGGTATATACAGTAAATAAGGACATGAGGGCCAGGGGTTTTTTAGGAGGAGGGGGGGGGGCAGCAAAAGTACACGGATTTTTAACATTCACGGGTATCTCTGTTACCTAACCCCCGCATATGTTAAGGGCCGACTGTATGGTCAAACTTCAAACAATTTAATAAAGAGATGATGTATATTTACCACAGACTAAACAAACAAAATACTAACAATTGAACATAAAACTGACCTGTAGATGCCCCAAGAGACAGTGCCTTTATGATGTGACCAACAGAAGAGATTCCGCCGTCCGCCACGACCGGCACACCGAAACGCCGCGCATATTCTGCAACCTGGAACACCATCAAGGTTGTATACAGTATTCGTCACTATGCTGCTTTAAATTTCACCATCAGAGACTGCATAGTGTATAACCACGGAAAAGAGAAACCGACATCAACCAATACTTTTGTTTTATACCAAATTACATGCAAAAACTGCTCACTAGTTAGGAAGTAACTCACCTTGTACACTGCCGTGGCCTGAGGTCTGCCAACAGCCATCACTTCTTGGGTAATGCATATGGAACCCGAGCCCATACCCACTCGTAGACCGTCCACACCAGCGTCGATCAAATTCTTGGCCTGGGCTGCTGTCACCACTAGAATGGAAGATGCATGCTGCTGTTAGTGTGCCAGTAGGATTTCTTGAGTGTTAATCTTAAAATATACAAAAACAAATACCTTCATTCCACATTTTTAAACGAGTCATGATATCTTTCCATGAACGTGTTAACCTGCAAAAAAATATACAACAGACAACTCTTACCGTTGCCACCGATGATTTGAAGTTCAGGATAGATATTTTTGATATAACGAATAAGATTAATCTGGTAGATGGAGTTTCCTTGGGAAGAGTCCTGGAAAAAAATTTACAAGAAAAAATACAATACTTCAGTTACATGACCACAGTAACTTATAAACCATATTTGATCTCCAAAACCATTTACAGTATTATAAATTTCTTCATATATGACATTCCAGCCAGTTCATATAAATCTCTCCTTCAATTAACAGACAATATCAACACCTAAATGATTGCATAAAGAGCCTGACGATGAAGATTATAATAAAGGGAAAACAATAAACTCTTACCAAGACCACAACATCGACACCTGCGTTGACCAGTAACTCGAGTCTGTGTTTGTCCGAGTCTCTCGTTCCAATGGCCGCCCCAACAACAAGCTGGTTATTAGCATCATACGAAGCGTTTGGGAAATTTCGCGACTTTTTAAGATCAGTGCGTGCTATTAGAGCCACAAGTTCTCCTTGCTCATTGGTAATTGGTAATTTACCTGGCAAAATAGAAGGAAATCAATACCTCCAGCATTAAAAAGACTGTCTTTCATGGTTAGGTAAAACATATAGTCATCCCCGGCAAACTCAGTTACCAGTTCATGAATATCAAGTTAAAAAGAACCCTTATTTAAAATCAATACAAGAGTTTCACATATCTGACCAACTCTGGTTCTGTGTGATTGTGAAAATACAGGTTATAATTTCCTACAAGAGACAGCAGCAGCATCAGTTGCCATCATGCAACTTTTACTGTCACTGTCAATAAACTGTCACTCTGTTAAAGCTTCTATACTGTACTGTGTATATACTTTCTGTCTGTTCATTGTGTATTAAAATGATTCACACCTGCAAGATAAAGGTACCAGAATATAACCCATAATAATAATAAAAGTTTATGACCATATTTTGTGCCAGTGTGAACATTTGCAGGTGATGACTATTACAAACTAACCATTAACCTCTTCCATTAATTTAGTGCTAGGTATAAAAATATCTTCCATTTTGACATTTTTAGGAATTCTTCATGTAAAGTACATACAGTACATGGCAGGGCAGACATATTTTACCCTTTTTAGATCGCTGTAGTATCTCATTTGCCTTGTCAAGGCTGACCCCCGCTGGAGCAGTGACAAGGTCATCAAACTGGGTCATTATCTCAGACAATAGCTTGTCAGAGGTTGGCTCCATGAAGTCTATGTCCCTGGATGTTACAATGCCAATCAATCTGGTGCCCATCTTGCCATCTTCTGTGATCGGGATACCACCAAATCCGTGCTTTTTCTTCACATCAAACACATCTGACACCTGCCAAAACCACAATTATATTATTTTTTTTTTACAGGGATTAGCCCACCCAGGCACAGGTCACTGACCCACATCAGGGCCTGGGGGGCAACAATGTAGTAATAATAATAATAATAATAATAATAATAATAATAATAATAATAATAATAATAATAATACTGTAATAATAATAATAATAATAACAACAATTATAATTATTCATAGTAAATTAAATTTATAATTAAAAAAAAAAAAAAAAAAAAAAAAAAAAAAAAAAAATCAAAAGTGATAAACAGTATGTATGTTGTGTTGTCAATAGTAAGAGAAACAATTGAGACCCTACAATTGTGTAAATGAGGCAGAAAGTCAGATCAGCAACCTGGGACTTGGTCACAATATTTGTGATGCCATATAGCAGCAAGGTCTACCATTAGACAACACATTATGCTTCTAATACCTTCCCAGGAGGTAGTACCTCCCTGTTTGATAGCTGCCTACTACCTTATTTGTAAAGGCTTAATGGTAACACACTCCATTTAGATTTAAAAATGTCTATGTAAACTATAAACAATGCATATACTGTATAGTATTATACAACACACATAAAACAATTTACAAAAGCAAATTAAGATTAACACAGGGACTACCGACCTTATGGTTGGATGTGAGACAGACAGGGTCTCTGATAAATCCGTGCTTGTATTTCTTGACCTTCATGACTTCCTGTGCTTGGAACTCTGGGGAGCAGTTGTGGTGGATGATGCCAATGCCTCCACAAAGCTGTAAACATTGCATCTCTGGAGAAAGATCAACTCCCCACCAAACACTGACTCCTCTCCTAAAGTAAACTAACACTCAGAATAAACACAAGTAAACTTTTCCATTTTTAAAATCCATAAAATTTACTGATTGCTTAGGCAATATAATGCTCTAAAATGGACCTCAGAGACAAGAACCAAGACATTACAAAGAACTTCAAGTAATTAGATATATTTCTACTGTAACTTGTGTACTATCACGAGCAATATACAGCCCAACACCCGAGTTGAATGTTTACGTACTGCCATGGCGATGGCCATTTCTGACTCGGTAACAGTATCCATCGGAGACGACACCAGTGGGGCCTTGAGGCTGACCTTCTTTGTCAATGCTGATGTCAAGTCCTATAGGGGGAAATACAAGAGGAGATTACAGGTACATAACTTATATCCTCTGAGGAAAAGTTACAGTAGGTCGGCATATCAAAACCTCTGACAGTAGTAAAAAATAATATATTATACCAAAATTTCCTTAGCAAACCAGATTATCATTATTGGTCTGCTCTACTAAAATCTCATTAAGCACCTGAACTAAGATATCATTAAATACCTGTACACATTAACCTCTTGTACATCACAGAATATATTACACCTTACATGATAATTAAGAAAATGAGGAACTATTTATCACTAACCACTTCCTCAGCTGCGAAGTCAATGAAACCAGGGAGGATAATGAAGTCACTGTTGAGGAGAGGAGACACTGCATTAGTACTGTACACCTTTCTTTACAGCCCACAATACTGTCTACCAATACATACAGGTGAAATTACAGTTTATAGGCAAATACAGTACAGGTATATATAAATGCATATCATGTACATTAATAATCCCTTAAGGTTCCAATTTCCGTAAGTACAGTACAGGCAAATTCCAATTATATATCCCTGATGTGTGTTTGCGATGATGGTAATTCTAAATCAGTAAGGATGGGTTTGATTGGTTCATTTTTCCCCATAACACACACACATTGAATATATCCCTCATAATACTGGAACAAGCACTTGTCTCCTGTAAAGAAATAATCCCACAGGGAGTCTTTACACCCACACCCATAAATAACATGAAGGAACATAAACCAATTTATCCCTTAACTTCTGATAATATTCTGGTTAGGTTGACTTTGCCTCATCTCAAATATAAACATTCAATCTAGGAAATGTAATTCATATTCTGTACTGTATTTAGGTTTTGTATTGGTACGGTACATTACAGTATACAGTACAGTACCTGTATTCATTCACAGATCTGAACACAGACATTTATATACAATAGTAGCTGTGTTTCTAAGAGACAAGTTGCTAGTACTGTGTGTGCAGTATTCACGATCTTCTCAATTCATTAAAGAACTATTATATACCATTATGTAGCAAGCCAATACCAGCTGTTAATGAATTTAATTTCCTTAATAATCTAATTACAGTACTCTTGAACACTTACCAAACTACAAGTACTGTACGCTATCATACTGTACTACAATTGTTCACATTATTATGCAAAGTTATTCCCACTAATCCAAACGGTAAATATTTCTTAGTCTGGTACAGTATGTAAACAATTTACAAGTTAAAGAACATTATTGGTGTGTGATGATCTTGTGTAGTGTAGTGGTGCCTGTGTGACATGTAGTGAGGCCATGAACACATCCTTAAAATGTACACAGTCTATGAACTATGATCTGACAAGTATGAGTCTGTGTGTGTGAGTCTGTGTGTGTGTGTGTGTGTGTGTGTGCGTGTGTGTGTGTGTGTGTGTGTCTAATTAAAACAAACTGATATGCTATAGCACCAATGAATGAAAATCAATCACAAACTTGGTGCTACCATTACTAGCTACCTTGTACACTGTAATAACTAACACAATTCGTAAAAGTTCTATTTCATTCTACTAAAATTTTTAAAACAATCTGTTAAGTTTTTTTTTTATAAGTAATTCTGTAAAATAAAAAAAATCTGTCAAATTAATGAAAATAGCTTAAGTATTAACTGTAATCCTGTAACATTCTTTAAATCAATCATCTGTTGTTCCCATACAAAGACCACTGACAGCTGTGAAACGAGAATACAGTCCACAACATTCCTACAGTAAACACATCTCACTACACCCAAACCTAACCTAACCTAAAATAGGATTCTCGGTATTATTTTAGTTTCGGTGATCCTGGTAATAGGTTAGGTTAGATTAGGTTAGGTTAGGTTAGATTAGGTTAGGTTAGGTTATGTTAGGTTAGGTTGGTTACATTGGGTGAGGTTAGGTTATGATGCATTACATTAGATTAGGTTAGTCTGGATGTGTAAATACAGGGATGACCAATACCAAAATTTTATTGTATTCTCATGGCCAGCAGGTCTTGATAAAGTTAAAGATGACAAGATCTGAAGCCACCAGGCCCATAATTACTGTACTATCCTCTTCATCCTTCAGCAATTTAAAACCAAAGTAAATGATTTTCGGGTAAAATTATCGTTTAGGTCAGGCAGCATTTTTTCCAAAGGTCAGAATCTTTCAAAATGCATCAAAAACCATCATTTCAACCTAACCTAACCTAACCCAATCTAACCTAAGCTATACTTAAATTTACTGTAACTACGAATTTTTGACATTGTTTAGTGGTTCATTCTCAACTAAAATCATCATTAAGTTAGGTTACCTTTTAGTACAGTATGTCAAGGTGAGTGACTGTTGGAAATGATTTAATACAATAATACTGAATTTTAGACAGGGACCATGGAGTGACAGATCATGTGACTGGCCATGGAAGGTGACAGGGACCATGTGACAGTGGCCATGGAGGGTGACAGGGACCATGGAGTGACAGATCATGTGACTGGCCATGGAGGGTGACAGGGACCATGTGACAGTGGCCATGGAGGGTGACAGGGACCATGGAGTGACAGATCATGTGACTGGCCATGGAAGGTGACAGGGACCATGTGACAGTGGCCATGGAGGGTGACAGGGACCATGGAGTGACAGATCATGTGACTGGCCATGGAAGGTGACAGGGACCATGGAGTGACAGATCATGTGACTGACCATGGAAGGTGACAGGGACCATGTGACAGTGGCCATGGAAGGTGACAGTGGCCATGGAAGGTGACAGGGACCATGGAGTGACAGATCATGTGACTGGCCATGGAAGGTGACAGGGACCATGGAGTGACAGATCATGTGACTGGCCATGGAAGGTGACAGGGACCATGGGTGACAGATCATGTGACTGGCCATGGAAGGTGACAGGGACCATGTGACAGTGGCCATGGAAGGTGGAGGGACCATGTGACAGTGGCCATAGAGGTGACAGGGACCATGGGTGGACAGATCATGTGACTGGCCATGGAGGGTGACAGGGACCATGTGACAGTGGCCATGGAAGGTGACAGGGACCATGTGACGGCCATGGAAGGTGAGAGGGACCATGTGGCAGTGGCCATGGAGGTGACAGGGAACCATGTGGCAGTGGCCATGGAGGGTGACAGGGACCATGTGAGCAGGCCATGGAGGGTGACAGGGACCATGTGGCAGTGGCCATGGAGGTGACAGGGACCATGTGACAGGGACCATGTGACAGTGGCCATGGAGGGTGACAGGGACCATGTGGCAGTGGCCATGGAGGGTGACAGGGACCATGTGACAGTGGCCATGGAGGGTGACAGGGACCATGTGGCAGTGACCATGGAGGGTGACAGGGACCATGTGACAGTGGCCATGTGACAGTGGCCATGGAGGGTGACAGGGACCATGTGACAGTGGCCATGTGACAGTGGCCATAGAGGGTGACAGGGACCCCAGGCTGGTTCAGTACAGTAGGCCGCCGTCACCCTCACCTGGACCCTTAGCGCGTAATTTCCTCCATTACTTCTTAAAACTACGGTTATATTCCCATCAACTGCCTCTAAACTGCCAAGATGAAGGACTTATAACCACCAGGTAATACAGCGAAAAGGTAAATGTGAGGTAAATAATGAGATACAAGGAGGCATGAAGCTGACAAAGTGTTGAAGATCTGAGTCACTTACTGGTAGGTGAGGCCTTCTCCTGTGGCGAACAACTGGGCGCCGGTATTGCCATCCTCGGGCACGTAGCTCGTCCCTCCACAAATCAAATAATCCGCCATCTTCGAGTTTCTTATAAACGTTTATTTAAGAGTATAATGACAGGAGTTACGCATTACACAATGTTACGCTTTTGTATTAAAAGCTCGCCAGCCTCGCTCTCCGGTCCACCAGATCTCACCGCGTGGACCCAACTGAAGAGGACGACGAGTCGACGACTCACAAGAGTCACAATATGAGACACGATTCCGATAAATACCATCCGTCACTATACTACCTTCTCTAAGAAAATATAAATTCACTAATGTATAGTTAGTTATTTTTATTTATATAAAATCATATTTTGAATATATATAAAGTATTGAAATATAATAATTTATTTTTTCTAGTCATTAGAAGTTGGTTATATAATAGTTTTTCCTTTGACTACACCTGTTGCCAAGCAACGGAAGAAGCGGGAAGTTTGAAATTCGTTGTGTATCAAACCTCATCTGGAAATAGTTTAGTGAGTAGACGATGCCATGTGCCAGAGAATTTTGGCGACTTACACCCAACCTAAACCATGTGTCAAGCAATCCCTAGAACTTGGTGTCATTCCACTAAGACGTTGTACGACCATATTACAACTAAGATGAAATATATTTAAATGTTGCCAGGCCTAACAAAAATAGAATAATTACTTAGTGTTTATTTTTTTTCAGGTAGACAAGAGTTGTAAGCTTCTCTGGCCCTAACAGTATACACTATGGGTGAGGGAGTTACCGAGAAGTATAACGTCGTAGAAGATAACTGTGGGTGGGTGGGGTGGGTGGTTGAGGAAGGAGCCATACTGCAGGCAACCTTCGTGCCTTGTCTTGGCAGCCTTGCTGGTGCTTTACTTCACCTCAACCTGATTTTCACGAAAATTAAAAAATATATAAATGTATATATTTTCAAAAAACTTCTAGTAAGATTTTTGCATTACCCTGTGCATTTTGGGGGTAAATTATTCAGCGCCGCGGGTGCCTGAATTATTGCATATGATCATAATAAATGACAAATCATAAGACAGAAGTTATGGTTCGAAACTGAGAATTTTACGAATTTACTGAATAAATATATCCAATTATTCTCCACTGGGTCAGTTCTGTAACACTGTTGGCAAGTACTGGGGCTTCTCCGCGCCCCTGAATGTACAGTAGTGTCTAGAAAAGCTTTGGTATTTGAGGAAGTAATATAAGTTGTGATGGTAAATGTGGGGAAGAAAAATTAAAACAAGACTGTCAAGCAAAATAAAAGCATCGGTTAAAAAGACACTCATTATAATCAGTTAAATTGGCTATTGTAATGCAATGTAAAACCAGTACAGCGAAATGATAAAAGTAATGGTAAGAGGGCCAGGGGTATGTAGAAACTGTGATAGATGGATGAAATGAAAGGTTCTAATTCCTGAGTTGGAGGCCATTATCACCAACCTTCAGACATAAGCGTTATGCATATATCACACATCTATGAACACGTGATTGTATTTCATTTATTATGGGTTGCTATCATTACCTTTAGTTTATATAGCCTTTATAAATTTATACCAACGACCACTGTCCAAGTATAGGCAGGGCGGAGTGTGTTTTGAGGAGCAAATGGCAAAACTTAAGCTATGTCGCGATCTATAGTTTTCAGTAAAATAGTTATACAATTTTACACTGATTAAGCAAGTGTAAACACGCTGCAGGCATACAATTCATGTATATGAACAATGCAGGTATACAGTGCATTATGTATGTAGACAATGCAAGTATAGTGTAGTATGTATATAGATAATATAGGCAAACAATATACATACACAGTGCAATTACACAAAATGTATCTAGACTGTGTGGACAAATGCTAGCCAACAAAGCTGTCAAATGCTTATTTCCAGTAATGTCTCGATGAGCTGGCGAGAATCACTGACTTACACAATAATGGATTGACCAACATGTTTCAAAACAACAAAACTATGCTTGGAATAAACATGGTCATGAAGCCACACTATCCATTTCTGAGCAACTCAATAACTACTAAGAAAGATTCACAACCATGTTAGGTAAGCTAGACGCAGTAAGGCCGACAGCAAAGATATATTGAATGTCACGCGTGAAGAAGAATTACATTAAATAATTGAAGTAACAGTAGGTATAGTTGAAGAGCTGACAGGTGGAGCCAAGGAGTGTAGGGACACTTTTTGATGCTATTCAAACACACCTCACACACACATACTAGAAGAATGTTATTTTCTTACGTTGCAACGCCCATAAACCTTCTTCTTGGTCTTATAGCACCTAGCAAGTGAGGATGGACCTTGTCAGCTGTACGAGATTAAAAAATCCCCGCCACACATCATCCCTACTTGAAGAAAGGTTCAGCGAGCCTGAAATTATCACGGACTGATCAGGGTTTCCTGCTATGAGGTTACCAAGAGTCAGTTCTGAGATTCACGTAAATTCGATGACAAAAATAAAGTTATCAATCGGATACTGAGATAACAGCAGTTGTTGACGGAAAGAGAACCGAACGCCGTCTAGCTAATGCTTTCATTTAACAGTCTGGGTAGTGCTTCAGTCAGTCATTTGGCTCAAAATAGTCAAATGTGATAACAAAATCTGTAATACATTTTGGCCTCAAATGTTCTAGGATCGTCAGCAGCACCACCCAGCCCATTCAGTGTTCACGACAAGTAATATCCGTAAAATATAGTCATCATCACGTTTATCCTCTTAAGTCCTTTTGTAGTTCACAGACCATGATGGTTCATAACACAGTGAGTGTGCGACCTTCAGTGCACCGGTCAACGCACTGTCACGAGGCCTCGAGGTGCCTGACCCACACATTACCTCCTCCCTCACTACATAACTTGGACCAGTTTTCCGGAAAAAAAAATGGTAATCTTGTTCTGTGTTTGTTTTCTGGACAAACTTACATCACCGGCCACATGACATCCGGGAACAAGTGTAGTTACCCTGTCTGATCCTGGTTGTGTTAAGGACATCTAGTTTTGATATTTAGGAAAGTTTGGGAAATGCCACAGCAAGTTGAGGTGAGCTGTGGGCGAAGGTGAATATAATTTGTTGACCAAGAAAAGCGCCGACTGTTATGTTGTTGTGATGGAGGTGCTAATGTAAGGGGTTTTAGCTGCAGCAAAGTGCAGCGTACAGATTTCCATCATTGGCACTGATTAGTCCAGTCCTTGTTGCTAAGTCAGGTCAGGTGGCCCAGGGCCTGGCCAGCTGTTGGCCAGGCGAGATGGCCAGCAGAACCTAAAGATTAACCACCCTAACGCTAATCTAAGCTACCTAACAATAACCTACCCTAAACCTAACCTGACTTAACCTAACGCTCATCTAACCAAACCTAACGCTAATCTTACCCAACATAACGCTGACTTAACACTAGGGAACGTTAGGGTGGTTAATCTTCAGTTGAAATAAGCTGTGCGACAAATCTCTATGTGATTCCATCTTTCTTTTTAATCATTGTCGGGTGGCAGGTAGCGAAGGCATCACAAGCAGTAAAAGCGCCGCGATAAACATGATTGTGATCACTATTGCGATTGAATGTTATTTATTGACATATTTTTCTTTCTCTGTTGTTTCAGATATGACTAGATGTTTTGTGTTGAATTATGCCAAAAGGAAGGCTAGCTCGTTTGTTTTCATTCTACATCAATCTCCATAAATTCATAATTAGTCAGTAACGAGTCAGCACTACAAGAGGCTGAAACGCAGTTCTAAAGGTTCTGTCGGCTAGGCTACATGATCACTGTCTCGTCTGAGTACACTGATGGTTGCAATATTAGCAAATAGCCGTGACATTAGTAGTACATTACAGTATAACTTTTGCAACACTGTAGTGAGGTGTTATAAGAGCCAGGCCATCACCAAGAACACAAGAATGTGGTTCACCTCGCCGCCGGGGCAGCAGTCAACACTTCAGGGTGATCGGCGCCACCCTGTTTTTTTTTTCTGCAGGAACCTTGAACCTTCATCTGTGTGTGACCATGAACAAGGTCTCCTCAACGTATACCTGTACTGTCGATATTATTTGTGTGAAGCAGGGAATTCCTCTAAAAGTTCCAACACAGTGGACACCAAGCGATAAAACAAAAATACAACCACGATGCTACACATCGAGCCCGTAAAATAATATTGCTGTATTGTGAAGAAATATTGGGCATGTTGTACTGTACATCAAAACATCAACGTCTGAAGAAAGATTAAAAGACGCTTCATAGTTATTGAGATTTAATGGTAATGTAGAGGATGTAGAAACAAATGTGTGTTATGATGTTATCGTTCCGTCCTGCACGCTAACATGAATAAATAATGTGTGGTGACAGGCTGGGCCACAATTTGTCTTGACAGTGTAGGCAGGGAAAAACACCATGCTCTTAAAACTAGGTTACCCCCCACACACTATTTTCCGCATCAGGTACGGACAGTTGTTTTAGGTTTGTGTGTTGTCTAAACAATATTAATATTTACGTTGTGATTATTGGCTTAATATTATTCATTAACGACCAATATCACCTGTTAAAGAAATGGTTTGCATAACTTTATATACATCTTACAGCCTTATACTATACAGTATATTTGTATATATTATTGTAATGTTGTTTTTCATTGAGGGGGTCGGGAGGCAGTGAACCCAGTGACTGCCTTCCTTATAATAGGAGGGAGAAATATTTAGGCTGACGGCCCAGGGTGCCAACACCACTGGTGCCGGACAACTCTCACTTCACTTCGTCATACCCTGTATACTGTTTAAACGTTATGGGGATTATCTTATAAAGGCGTCATTGAACAGATACCGTAAGTTCATTGATTGAAACTATTAACTTAAGGATTCATCAATATAAAAGTGAGTGATAAAACTAGATCGAGTTTCTGAAAAAACAAATATTCTCAGCTTTATTTATATGATGTAAATATCTGAATATTTACCAAAATATACTCAACAGGTTTTTAGTTGTGTGGCTTCGTGGCTCCCAACTTTGGCACTTGACATTAAAAGTGACCTACCAACGTTAGGCCATAAACAGATGAACCCTTGAACTTCTGCACATGAAGAGTATGGTTCACTCTGTGTGTGTGTGTATGTGGTGGGCTGAGGAGTCTTTCCTATGCCGTGGCTCATCTGCCTCCCCTGTATATACTGTAGTTTCAGCTCCCTACACTTGAAGACTCGGGTGAGAA